ATATATATATATATATTAATATATTTAAATATATTTTTTAGTTTTATATTTTAGTTGTCACTAATTTTAGCATTAAATCTTTATCTGTTTTTATTGTAATTGATATTAAGTATTAAAAAATGTTTTATGCTGAAAGAAACTTATGCAAATATATAATAAACGAATTACTTTCATTGTTTTCCAGTTTCTGGGTATCTGGTTCGAAGCTGAAAGATACTTCCAACTGACAGAAGTAGTGTCACGATGCGTAATGGTAAATTATTCATTGAGTACTGATGGTAAATTCCGAGTCACCAATGAAGTCACAAATAGATTGTAAGTGTACTTCAAAAAATTTATTATTAAATTGTTACTAATTGTAATTTATTAAATTGTGCTGTTATTTTTAAATTATATATAATATTAATATAATATAATATTAACGTAAAGATGGATCTTTCTTTTACATTATACATCAAATAATTCGTCATTTTTTTGTCTTACAATTAGACTCATATTCCTAGGAATGTTTGAAGTTATAATTGATGGCATTTTGATGTGATATTTAAAAAATATAACTTTCATTTAATACTATTAAATAATAATAAGTATTTATTATTTGTTCCTCTTGCATCTTTTAATTATTAATTATTATTATTATTTTTAATTAAATTTATAAAAAAAACATTCAGCACAGGAATTAAAAGAATACTAGAGGGTGAGATTAAGAAAGCTGCCTCAAAAGCCGAAGAAGGAAAACTTACTGTGAAATATTCGTTGCCATTGAGTCCTGAGACTAAGTATTCAGTGCTTGAAACAGATTACGATAGTTATGCGGTTCTGTGGAGTTGTTCTGGTATTGGTCCATTCCGTACACAAAATGCTTGGGTTATGACCAGAGAAAGACAAGCACCAGGGACAGTCTTACAAAAGGTAAATTTTACTGTAATTTATATGCATTAAAACTTAATTTATTTACAATATCTTTCAAATTCTCCTTCTCTTTAAAATCAAAATTTTATTTTAATTTATTGAATATCTTAGTATTAATATTTACGTTTAAATTTATTATTTATACATATAGTTTTAAAATTGGTGCAGTTATACTGATATTAATAAAATATTTGCATTTGTATTTATTGCTTAAGTTTAAATTTTATTAAAATTAATAATTAAAAATTTAAATTAAATTAATATAAACATACAGCGTTAATCAAAAATTTAGATACAATTTTATTACATTTGTATTTCATATTTAATTTATAGCTCGTTATGTTCCTATATATTTTCTAATTATACTATACAACGACGACTCTAATTATACTAAAATAATCTAAGTAAGGAAATCAATTAATCAAGAGTGTATACTATAAGTTAATAACATTCATAATAAATTACGAATACATAAATGCTGCAAAATGAATTTAATAGATAAAAATGTATAAATCTTACATACCGTACTCATTATAATTTTTGATAAATAAAACAAATTTAGGCATAGACTAAATTTGCATAAAAATTCGCTATTAATAAGATACTAACATTATCGAATTTCTATTTTTAATTAACAGAATTAGATGTGTACTTTTTTATTTTGATATTTTCATACTGACAATTAGAAACTTTTAACCATTAAAAATTCTATTATATTGTTAAATATTCTATAATGTAAAATAAATTTTGCATTTTTTAAATTATTTTATTTTTAATTAAAAAGATTAGCATTTGATATTTTCATATTATTAATTACAAATTAATTTTATTTTAATACGAAAATAAATTTTTTTTTCAAATAGGCATGTCATACGCTGTCTTAATTAAATAATAATTAATAATGTTTCGAGATAATTCCAAAACTGTGTAAAATAAAATATTTGATTTAAAAGATTCAATATTTCATTACACAGTAAAAGTTCGAGGATAACATAAAATATTCTGTCAAATAGGCATACGCAGTCCTGGATAAATACCAGATCTCCAAAATGTTCTTCGTGAAAACAGACCAAGAAGACTGCGCCTACTTAGAAGCATCAGAAGCACAAAACGATGAAACTTCCGAAGAAACTCCACAAAAAGATACAGAAAACGTCAGAACTGCTTTAACACCAGACGCACCAGAAGCTATGCTCGAAATGAAGAACACGAAAGAAGACGAAAAAACCGTAGCGAAGAAACCTCAAATCACGGAAAATCTGAAGAAAAAACCTATTAACACAGTTCCCGAACGAATCATGGAAGTGGCTGATACTATGAAACAAGATGCACCAATAAACGATGCAAAAATAAAAAATGAGAATGTTGGTGAGGCGATGCCAGAAAAAATGAACGAAAATATGAAACAAGCAGAGACAACCGCGTGAAAATAAAACGTATAAAGATGAGAATTTCAATTCATTTCATTGAGAAGATGTCGCGTAGATTATAGTCGATTAGTTGAGCTTCAGGCTTGTAGCGGTTTTGTTCTGTCGATGCCAGTCTCGCCTGAGTTTCGCATTCATTATTCATCGTATTTTAAGAAAAGGATTACCACTTTCATGATTCACAGAGAGACAGGAAGGGTATATTTGTTTTTACTCGTGTACAAATGTAAAAAAGAAAGAAAAAAAAAAAGAAAACAAAGAAAATAAATTGTTACATAAAACATTGCTATAAAATTTTGTTGTATTTATGATTTGTCCCATTTCGATTTACGGTTATCAAT